ACAGCTTGGGCAAGTTGACTCTCCCAGCTCCCAGAGCTCTAAAACTAACTGAAGACTGCTGTTTTAGGTCTTATCACAGGCAGCCTCTGTAAGAAGCCCTATGAGTGATCCCAAGTCCTCCCCTTTGTCCGGAGAGGAATTTCAAGGCACTGATCCATTTTTCAGCTCCTCATTCTCTTGTGGTTGTCAGCTCTGCTGAAAGCGGAGCGATCTTCAGCTCGCCATTGCTTCCCCAGAAGTCCTTTTATCATGATAGGAGTTCATGGAGTTTTTGTTTATTTAGAAAACTTGTATGGCCACTCATTCTATGCATGATAATCTTAGGTGGCTCACAACAACATTCCATAAAATAGAAGCCACAAAACCCCACAACAGCTTCATATAATATATCCCATCACAACACCATAACTTCTTACCAACTCTACATTTACAACACAATTTTTATTTGCTGAGCTCACTTCCATCCTAGCCCAATGCCTGGTGAAGAGCCAGGTCTTCACAGCCCTCTGGAAGGCTAACAGAGTAGGGACCTCCAAATCTCAGAGTGGAGGCTATTCTAAAGAGTCAGGGCTAGCACAGAAAAGGCGCAAAATGCTCTTAAAAATGGGGGGGAAAAAAAGGGTCTCTTGATTGATTGATTTAATCAGTCAATAGACTGACTACTGTTTGACCTTTGACCAATTACATAATTGATCAATATGTACAAGATCATTTATGGGGGAGGTAAAAAAGTCAAGATGATGCTCAAGCCTATGCAATCAAAATCCCCCTTTTTTAATATGTCATACACACAGAAAAGAAGCAGGACTTTGTGTGGGTGCAGATGTCATCTTGACTTTTTTGCCCCCTCCCCTCTCCAAATGTCACCCCTAAACTGTACTTTTTCATATGATCAATGGGGATAAATTATTGGGAGGAACCATATTATCAATATCAAATTAATATAATTTGATTTAATTTTGTATATATTAAAAAAAATTACCCCACTCAACCCATTTCTCAGTTCCTGACTTACCTGATTTTTATGTGTAGCTGCTGAGATGCAGTGCAATCTTGCACCTAAAAAAAGTTGGACTAAATTTGTGGACTAAAAGGACACCACTAATGGGTGCTGGCCATCTTTTTTCAGCTAGTAGTGAAGCATAGCTTTTGACACGTTAATTTTTATTTGAACCACACCATGTGACTAGTTCTATCCTATAAATGGTTCATTCTTTCCTCTTTGTTAAGCATGAATTTGTACTATATACTTGAATTACATACATAGAGATCTTAGATTGTACCCCACCCCACCCCTTCCAATCACATAAGTCAGGATACTAGAATTTTAGGCTCCCCTTTATCCATTCTTGCTCCTTTTAGATATCAGGTTCTTAATGTTGGGGAATACTTGGAACAGAATATGACATGGTACCAAGGATTAATAGTAAGGATAAGAAGATCACTGAAAATCAGATTACCTATTTAAACAAGCCAAACCATGTTCTAGGAACTATTGGATACAAATCATTATCTTTAGCCTATTGATTCTTTCCATTCCCAAATATAGCGCTTGGGCAGGTAAAAGATGTAAAGTGCCTCATTTAAGAGATATTTTAATTCAAATGAATGAGATCAGTTCAGCCTCTGGTTTCAGTTGTTAGAAGAAAAGTCACAACCTCCAGGGTTCATAAGTGAGTTATGAATGTAGAGGTTCCACTCACACAAGAAAATATTTCTCAGGGCAATGCAACACTGTGGATTCAATTCCAAAATGGTGCTTCATTGTGCAGAGGTGTGCAAATCCACCATCTGTCTGCAACTCTTAATGCAGTGGCTGCTGCTCTGCTTTCTAAAGAACCATTTTGGAATTGAACTTGAAGAATTGCATCACCCTAATATGCTAATTGCAACAAACAAGAAAATACTTACTAATTGCAGAATTATAGGTGGTTGAATTATTGTCATCTCTTAAGAAAGGAAATGGAGAGAGATAGGCATGGGTGCAGTTTTTAGAAGGTGACTGGTTCGCTGAAAAAGAGTAGCAAAGACTAAATTACTCTCTTGCATTTCCATATACTTAAATTTTTCCCATTTTAGAATGCTTATGCTGGGTGGATGAATGATTGGCCCCATGTGTTTAAGATCCAAACTTCTGAATTATGACTGGGGAAAGGAATAATGACTTTATTTAATGGAATAGTTCTTGTAGGGCTCTACAAAATATACTGACAAATCGCCTAGAGTCACCAGGAGCCAGGCAGCATATAAATTTAAAAATAGAAATAAAAAATAAAAATCTGTTTCATGATCTGTGATAGCTAAAGATAATTGTAAAAAATAGCACTACTCTGGAGGGAGTTAAGTTGATAGCAGCAATAGCACACAGAAGCTCATTGATTCAGAGTGAAACAGAAGCAGTCAAGAAATTCCCAAGAGCATCAAGATATTTCCCAGTGATATATATACTTGCCAATTATTCCCAATTAGAATTTTATTCAGCACTTATATTAAAACCTTTAAGACAAAAAAAAATGCATCCATTGACTTTTCCATATTCCCAGATGCCTGTATTTTAGAAGATCCTTATAATGAAATCATATTAGTGTAAAAAACTCATAAAACAGACCCACTCTTGTCCCTCCCAAGTTCTTCAATCTCTCTACTTATTCAAGCTACCAGTACATTGCATAACTCTTTTGCAATTCCAATATTCCAATATCATCCAAACATCATTCATTAGACAAGTCTCCATGATCTAGCTTTGTTCTACTAGGGGTCCTAGTAAGGCATTCCAGTAATTTCACTGCCTCTCCACTGGCATCTGGAGAGTAGCATGGAAAAAGGAGGAAACTTGAAGGGCAAGACATGGATGGGTGGGTGGGAGGGAGGGAGGATGGATAGATGGATAGATAGAGAGATGGAGGGAGAGAGAGAAAGAGGTGGAGAGAGAGAGAGAGATTTAAGGGGTTACTGCTTTGTGCTTGTTTTTTGATGTTGGCTAAAACTTTGCTACTCCTTGGAGTTTTTACTGATGCAATTGTTTTGAATTATGATCCTACAAACAGCAATTAGTTTTTTATGGAAAGATGGGCTGCACTATTTCAATAAAGAGTTTAACATTAAATGTTCAGGAGGAACTTCTGTGAAGCATACAGGTATCATACCTCTGAAATGATTAAAACAGTTTGTAGCCATAGTTTTATAATTTCACCTGTTTTTCTAGTTCTCTGTGTACAGTGCTTAGGAATACCTGGTGCTCCATGTGTGGGCATCTGTACATGTCTACACAGATATCTACACAGAGAGGCTCTGTCTACTTGCTTACTTAAAAAACACCTTGCTCTAGAGGAGTGCATGAGAAAACAGAAAATGCATTCAAATAAGTTCTTCCACTTCATTCAAGAACTTGTGCAGCTCTTTGACAAGCATAGACATGAAAGCTGCTATTCAGTCTTGTCTATAGCACTACGTGAACCTTGCTCAAGTATTTGCAGAATGTATTTGAGCAGGCATGTGCAGAACTGTCTTGCTTTCCTTTTGTTCACAGTTCTGCAAATCTAAGCATAACCTTATGTTTTATGTTTGCATACAGGGTCATCCTGCCAGAACAAACATGCCGGTTTCAGTGGACAGCTTCTGGGAGTGGTCGCAAAGCAATGCGTTCTTGTGGTTGAAGTAAATCTCGAGTGAATCCCTGAATATAAAACAGCTTAAAGAACTGGGGGACTGTGAGCTATATTCTGCCATCTCTGTCCAGCAGAATAATATCTATAACAAACAGAAGCACGTATCTGCTGCAGAAGGTTGGGAAGTCCTCTAGAACAGATTTTGAAAGAATCACAGAGAAATGCAGCAGAGAGAAAGAGAATGAAAACACTCACGAAAACTTGTTTTGGTATATCGTAACCCTATTCAGAAAGATTTCATTCTACAGATAGAAATTATTAAAACGGGCAAGCTTTAAAATGTAAGCAAGCATTCTCTCTATTATGTCAAAACTACAGTACTTACTGTACCAAAACTTCAACATACTGCTAGGATTCTCATCAACCTTCCCATCAAACCAGCACCTCCAGAAGAAACCCTCATGGTGGAACATAATCTTCTCTTCCTGCACAAAAGAAACTAAGAACTCATCATACATTTGTATGAACTCATGTTATATGTTTTATGGTAGACTACCCACAACTCTGTAATATCCTGCTGATTCTAAATAATCTCGTGAATATTACTGGATGAGGTTAATATTAAAATCAAGAACGTGCCTCATTCATCAATGGTCTTTCTAAACAAGAAAGAAGTAGACATGTCTGTGACACAACTACAAGATATTTCCTAGGAATAAAAAAGTATACTAACCCTAGTGCGATTCAAATCTTCAGAACACTTTCCAACTTCTGTAGCCAGAAGCCAATAGTCTGTCCCAAAAGCAACCAGAAAAAACAAAATCCCAAGAGCTCCAAAGAAGCCTCCGAAAAATATTCCAACGCTCAACTTCATTGCTGATTCGTTCCTTAAAAAAAACACTGATAAATCTAAGAGATATATTTCAGGGTGGTGGGGGAGAAATATTCTCCCTTAGATAAATTTAGTTAAGGATTACACTGCTTATGCTATGTCTTGATTTGTGTTCAATTAAACTGCAACCTAACAAATGAAGATAGACTTCTATTTTAGGACACTCCCTGAAACAACTTTACAGTATTTTCCTTAGCTGGAGTGACCAGCCAAAAATAGCTGACCTTCCCTTAGCTGGGTATTGGCTTGAAATATTGTTGCACATGGGTGCATCTACATATGAGGAAGAGGGATGAAATTACTGTGCCCTTATTATTCTGCCTAGGTTGGGTTTCAATATTCAATGCTGCAGGCAGTGGCAGTATCTACACCTTGTAATCAATTTATATTCCTCCCATAAGCAGGCAAGGAATAGTCCTCCTCTGCCACAGACACACATACAAAGCACTGTGCCAAACTAACTTGCAGACACGTACCAGGCACACTGAAAGCTTATCATCAGATGCATAAAAACACTTGAGCCTCATTGACTGGTTGGCTATCTCATTCCAGAAGAGCAATCAAGACATTTAAAGCTGAAATGTGGTGTCCAAGTAACTCCAAAACACTTCCTTTTTTTTTCAATCTTTAAACGAGGGCGTACATGCCTAGCTCAAATTCAGAATTAGAATTGCGTCTCTGTTTCATAGCAGGCAAGATTTTAGCATCTAATATGCTCTCATATTCACAAGAAAGAAGAAATCTGGTCCTGCTTTGTATGCTTTAATTATCTTTGGATACAGAGAAAGTGATTTCCAGTGGCACAACTATGCTTTTAGACAACAGGCCGTATTTATTATTTTTCAATTTCAAATAGAAACAGATGTTTTCTGCCTCCTGATACCATCCAGATGCTCTGGGAATACAGCAAGAACCAGCCTACATCATTAATTGCTTGATTGCCTTGGAATTCTGGAAATTTTACTCTGTATACCTCCAGAAGATGCCAGATTGGGAAGGTGATATCTGGGTCTGCACTACCAAACAGATAGGATTTTATTCAGTTGTATAGCTTTTCTGTATGGTAGTTGGACATCTGTGCATCAGTTTCTCTCTCTTTGCACATAGTGGTCTATCTAAAGCAGGGGTCCCCAAACTGTTCAGCTGATCGACTTCTTCATGAAGTTTCAAATTATTCATCAACCCCCAAGCATTTATTATATGAAAATAATTTAATAAATATTACTTTGACTAATAGTACTATGAATAATATTAACAATAGTAACAGTAACAACAATTTTGGATAGTCCCATTGACCCTTGGAGGTTGATATTGACCACTTTGGAGAATCCTGATCTAAAGGAACTTGTTGAACTAATTCAACACAGAAGTATACAATTATACAAACTTTTTGAGCCATTGGGATAATTTAAAATTTTGACAGCATATTGTTGGTCTGATTATAACTGCTATGGTAAGCAAGTTTCTCACCAACACTTCTGTCCTTCTAACCTAACTTATTTTGGCTCTTTCCCCCTTTTTTCACTTATCTTTCTTTTTCTTTTCTTTTTCTCTCTACAGGTAGGCACATTCTATACAAAGCAAGGGAGTCTATGTGGGGGCAAGACATTTTTGCAAATAAAAATTATGCTAGAGGTTGGTGGTCAGAGAGACTGACAAATGTCAAGACTGTAGATGTCATTGGAAACATTGTTGTTCACTCCTTAGGACAAAACCAATTCTTGTATTCTGAAAATATAAAGTTGAACATTAAAGTATTTCAAGTTCCTGGTTTTGAATTTCATCAGTTTGTAAAATAACAAGGAATGGTGTACAGGAAAACATGGTTATAAACTTATTTTAGAATGTTAATTTTCATAGTAATTCTTTGTGAAGGTGGTCGAAAAAGGACTATTTTTTATTCCATTTAAAAAAAAAACCTCTTTCAAGTCATCCTCAACTCCTGAGACCTTTATGAACATATCAATGTAGCTTTCGTGGCAAGGGTACAGAAGTGCCTTCTTTTGAGGGGTGGTGGTGGAATTGTTTTGTTTTGCTTTATTTTCCAGGATTACCCTCGGATAAACCAACTGTGAAAATTAAAACATACGAAACATTTTGAAGGCTTATCCACAGGAGGCACATTTTTCACGGTAAGTTGGAGTATATACAGTAACTGTTCTTTCTTGCTGTAGCCATTTAGTATATACAATGACCAAAAATATGTATAGTAGCAAAACTACTAAATAAACATTTGGTGAGTATTTTGGGGTAGCTATTTTCACTAATCATTATTCCTCTTATGCATGGTTTCATAGTATCCCACAATAGCGCCTCTTCTATATCATCTCTTACATTTAGTTAAAAAAAAAAAAAACTCTACCCAACCATGCTTAATTTTTTTTTTTTAAATGTTGTCAGTAAGATTACTTGAGCTATTTTCAGGAAACTAAAGCTGTCTATAAATCACATACATTAATTATTGTGCTCTAAATAAACACATATGATGTTCTAATAGAACTTTCAGGCATTGTCAATGTCTTGGAAGATGCCAAAGTTTCTTTTATGAGCATTTGGATCATTTAGACACTTTCACTGTCTGAAAAGTACAACTGCACCTAGAGCTGCAAGAAACTAAGAACTACTGTAAGGGTTTTTTTTTTTTTTAATTCAATGTTTATATCATTTTAAAATTATATTTTTGAAAGTTGAACAATTTGCTTTAAAGGTTATGGCTGCTTATGAAACAGAAAAAATCTATACCATCCACTCCATGAATCTAAGTAGAAAATCTCATGGTGGCAACTCTTAGATTAAAATTAAGCCCTTATGTTTCGTTGTGAAAAATAAATCCAACCCTAGAGTCTTGGCCTCCAGTCTTATGGAAACAATTATCCATTCTACTGATAAAGATATAATCTTATAAGATTCAGAGTTATAATGTAGAATTTACTAGATTAAGGCTATCTCTGGTTTTAATTTTTTTTTAGTCTTACTGGGTTTAGTTTGGTATATGATATGCAGTTTTCCATTATTGTTTTACTATTCTCCCAATGTCTACAAAAATGTACATTAAAAAAAATCTACTGAAATACTTCTGAATAAACTATTATATTTCCCCTGTATGATTTTTTTTCTTTTAGGAAACTGACTGGTCATGGATATAACATGTGAAAAGTTTAGCGTCATCTACTTTGTCTTCAATTTTGGCAAACAACAGAATGCATTTTTCATATGTAAGATTTCTTACCATTTTTAAAAGTAGTTATAAATATTACCAGTACTATCACTATTTATCAAGTTTCACAAAATTCTGTTGAGTATGGAAAAACTTTTTGAATGTTCAGGTAGCTCATAAAATTTGTCATTGAAATTGGAAGAAATTGAAAAGAAAATGTAAGTCCTATTTAAATAATACCTTCTTGCTTAGAGGTATTGAACTTTCCTGTTTTGTGAAATAAAAATCAGAGTTTACTGGGATAATTGTCATCAAATGATGTTAACTGCTCAAAAAAATAAATTAAAATATTTGATATTGCTGAAGATCTTTTTTTAAAATTAATTCCATGGCTGGATGGGTCATTAACTAAAGTTAGAAAAAAGACTGGAGTGAGAAAGAGATTAAAAAAGAGAAATCCAGACGACGTTTGCCGTTTAGGCTAATGGTCTGATCTAATAAGTATAATAGTAACAATAAGAATAATTCTAATTATATGATTTATTATTAGAAAATTATAATTATCATTTTCAGTAGAAACCCATTCCTTGCAAAAAATTATATAGTGAAAAGGCATGAAAATGCCTTATCTCCTTGAATGGCCATTGCAGTACAGCAATAGCAGGAACCCTTATCTTTATCAGAAATAATTTTCATTGAATTTGTTAGGTGTGTAGAAGGGTTTATGTAAGAGTGTAGCTTGAATCCTAAGAGAAATGCACTACACATTTGAATGGCTAGCATACAAGGACATGATACAGAGGACATGGAAAGAAGAATGCTTCAGGGTCATGCAGAATCTTGTAGACTTCAGATTTGATCTACTTTGAATGAGGGAATCTACCTCAGTAATCATTGGTAATCATGAGGGTAGAAGAAAGTCCCCATATCCCCTACTTTGATTTTCACAGACTCTCAAATCCTGCTAAAGCTTTAATTCTAAATACGCATGAAAATGCATTAGGACTTATTAGGCTCCCATTACAATGACATTTAAGAATTAGCTTATTTTGCCACAGATGAAACTGTATTTTCTCCCCTTCATAATAAACAATTGCCCTTTCAAATGGCCAAAGCAGCATTGCCATAAAATGGGTTATATTGATTCTGGAAACAGTATCAACATATTTTAAAAGTCATTGAGGATCAGGATCTCATTTAAATTTACTTATGAGGTCTTCCATGTAAGAACCAAGGAACCAATCTTTCTAAGAACAGGAGGCCTAGCAGCACCTGCCTCAAACACTCTTTCCTTTTAATATGTTTCTTGAAAACAATTCATTCCAGGTACATGGTCTTGCCATCTTTTAATTTATATTATTTTTTATCTTTTTTTTCTTTTAATTGATTTTATTGTAATTTGTTTTGATTGTTGTGAGCTGTCCAGAGATGTTGAGTGTTGGGCAGCATACACTTTAATTAAATAAATTAAATTAAAATGCCGATTTCTGACTTCTCCCAAAAGAAATGTTTGTTAGAACTACATTGCAGTTCTAAATTGACAAGCTAGAGAAAATAATGTAGAATGATTAGAACTGTCTTTATCATGGACTAAGAGCTTAATTCCAGCCTACCAGATCTAGACTGCAAAAATTCAGATGACCCTTAATTGGTAGCCAGGAGATAACAGAAATCTCTCTCTTTGCTGCCATCTACTGTTTGTCTCATTCTTGCAGTCCAAATGATGTCCTTGTCCAACTGTATCTGGTTCATTGTTCTAATCAGTATTACTTTTCAGTAAAGCAGTTGTGAACAACAACAAAAAATTCATATGTATAAAGAAACATTTAAAACAACTGAATCTTATTATGGATATCACCCATACCCATAATTTCCTTGCATACACCAGGCTGTAGTGGTGCACTTTGAAATTTCACAGCCATCCCATAGTGATGCTCCTAAGAAGACTCCAAAATACCCACAACAATGCTGCTCTGTTGTGCTGTCTTTGTGTATATCCACCAAGAGGTGCCATCAGGGAGAATTTTCAGGTCCAGCTTCAGAGTCACTGCAGAATAACCAAGAGAGTCTGTCCATAGGATCTCTGTTACAATTCTTTAAACTCTATTTTGAAGTAAGTGAAGCAATATCTCTCAGCTTCTAAAGTAAAGGGGGTTGTAAGATGATTACATCTGATATCTAAAACAGAAATAGGCAACTGATGTCCTCCAAATATTGGGGATTACAATTCAAAATCCCATGCCTGGGGGATGGGAGTTGAAGTCCAAAATATCTGGAAAGCCTCCAAGCTGACTATTAGACTAAAATTACATTACTAAAATACCCACCAGAAACAAGAGCATTATAACACCTAATTTAGGTGGATCAGCTAATCACAGAAGAGCAAAAGGCAATCTTGTGATGAGTATGTTTGACTTGGTTGTAGAAATCCATTCCTGATCCACGGTTATCATCACTGGGTAATCTTCATCCACACATTAGTTGAACGTAGATTATGTCATGGCTTATTATGAGCTCAAGTGTGAGTATAGAAGGAATAGCCACATTCCTGTATATAGCATATAGCCTGCTACTTATAACAATTTGGAAAGGACTGCATGTAACAATGTTACTTCTAAATCCATGCATAAAATGATTGGCCTAATAGACATATATCTCTTTTAAAAGACATATGTACCTTTAGAAGATCCCTTGCTGTATTAATTTATTAGATTTGTACGCTGTCAAATCCATTCAGTCTCACAGCACCATACAGCAAAACAATTAAAAAGTCCAAAAGAGATCAAACAACCTAGTACAAGTAACACCGCCCCACAACAGCAATCTCAGTTGCACACAGAAGCCCACTGACACCCACAGCCCAGGTTTAATGCACTCCGGGTTGACTAACACCTGCCAGCTAATGGGCCACTGTATGTGTATCAATTACAGCTTCTAAGTGTTCCTCAAAGGCAGCCCCACATAGAGCACATAGTATCTCAAGTGAGTAGTAATGAAGACATGGGTTACCATTGTGTAAGATCCATATGCTCCAGGTAGGGTAGAGTAACAACTACTGTATATTCTCTGTGGAGAGACTAGAACAGTCACATTTCCTGTTTCGCATTGCAAGATTATTTCTCTAAGATGCCTTACTGTGGGGGTACCGATGCTCTTTCATTACAGTCTGCTGATGTTGAGCAGCTGGAAGATAAAATTTCTGTCCATATCGGAGTCTTTATTTCTTTTACCCCATCCTGAAAGCAGAACTTTGAGCTATGCTTTAAAGCAGCACCATCTCCTAGGGAAAGCACAGTGATTTAGGAAACATGTACTATTTTTAATTGCTCCTCGCCTCTAACAAAAACTTTAAATTCTGAATGATACAAATAGGAAAGTAGGTCGCGTTATTTTCCAAGATTAAATTCCTTCCTCCCCATCACCGTATCACTTCGTGCTGTGAATTACACCTCCCAGATCCGGCCACCTCAAACTACCGTACTTCACAATAGGGTAAGGATTGTTCCTATACCATAACAAAGCCTGTCTGTGGCATTTCTGTTTTTTTCTTCAGCTCCTGGATTACAGTGGAGCCCAAAAGGCCTGGGACAACTTCACCCCTAAAAAGCAACCACAGATCCAGAGGTCGAGGCTTTCTTCAAAACATGCGCCGGAAACTGCTGTCAGGGGTTTAAATCCCATTAACTCAACGGCACTGGAGAGGTATGGGCTCCGCCTGTAAACGTGCGTCCCCTCCCGCCGC